ATCATATGAACACTATCAGAGAATACAGACAAAATAGTTTGTATAACCTCGTATATTTCTTATTCAAACATGAAATATACAAGCATATTTTTTTACTGTTACAATTGTAAAAATAATTTGCAATTATTTTCTTATATCATGGAAATATTTCTCAATATTGCTTCAAAAAATTCCTAAAAACTAAAATTTATACGTTAATAAAAATACAATAAATACAAAATTCGTGCAACACACACAACAGTGACTAGTTTCATTATAAATTTAGAACATCGAAGAAACCGTAACTAAAAGGTGTAACATTGACTCACATTGATTGACATGACTCTCTTAGCCCCTATTTGGGCTACATTTTTTCAAAACTCATTTCAACCATTCATTCTCTCGTAAATAATGTTACATGTAAATTCAAATTTTATCTTATTTTTTAATCATTTATTTTTTCAAAAATTACTATTCCACAATTTAATTTTAATAGAGCACGAATAGAAGCTTAATAAGACTATAAAGAAGTGAAGGAAATAAATAGATTTCATTTATATAAAGCACGAAAATAAAGATTTACATAACAAGTTTAATCCCCTATTTGAAATTTATTATTCAAAAACTCTGTTTTTTCGTACTTATTTTTAATCATACATTCTTACAATAAAATATTTTTTTTATGTAAATTCAATTTTTAAAAAAATTTTAATTAAACATTCTTCAAAAAATATTATTTAATAACTCATAATTCTCAAATAAATTCTATTGATACTACAAAAAAAAGGGCTCCACCAACCAATGATTTAGCGACCAAACGAAATTGGTTGCTATAAGTCACCTCTACCGACCAATTGTTGGTTGGTAAAAATTTTGGTCGGATAGGATTGTATTATGTTTCTTGTGTCCTATTGCAAACACAAAATGGTTGGTGATTCGATGTATTAGCGACCTAACACTGTTTTGGTCGCTAATAAATAGGCGGGAAAAAGCACTCAAAATTCTTTTGCGCGGCAAGCACTTTTAACAACCAATATTTGGTCACTGGAGGATTATTTTAGCAACCATACACAGAATGGTCGCTAAAGCCCTTGGAGAGAATAGATCCCGCCATTTTTATTGGGGTTTTGCAACCACCATGATATAGTTGGAAATAAGTAATGATTTAACGACCAATATATAGTCTTTGGAGGAATGTTTCAGCAACCATGCGGAGATTGGTCGCTAAAACCTCTAACGGGAGTAGAAATAGACATTTTTAATTTGGAGTTATAGCGACCAATTTGTTTGGTCTGTATTAATGATGATGCAACGACCAATATTTTGTCGATAGAAGAATGTTTCATTTCATCAACCAAACGAGGGTTGGTTGCTGATTATACGTATTATCAACCAATTCTGATGTGGTTGCTAAAGGATGTCGTATAGGTTTTTTTGGCTAGTGATATTTTTGAAGAAGTAATTAGCGTCAGCGATCAAGAATTGATCGATAATTGGTTTTAGCTACCAACATTGATTTTTATCGTGAAATATTAAAATAAATTATATATAAAATTATTAGTTTCCTAAGAAAAGTATCATTTTTAATACTAATTTATAATTAATTTAAAGTAATAAATAAAAAATAATATATTTCTAACACAATTTTGAGATATGATGAAATCGAGGCCTATCCCATTTCAAACCCTAAATTAAGCCCCTGTTTGGTGCACATTATTTGAGAAAATAATATATTTTTTCCATCAAATCAGACTAAAATATTTGACTTTAAAACTCTAAAATAGGATCCATGGTATGATGTTTAAAATGCATTTTTGTTGAAAAAATGTGAAACAAACGGCCCTAAATTTTCAACCACACTCCCTTCGACATTTCGCCTCTCCCTACCCGCAATTCACACAGTAATTGCCCAAAACTGGAGAGGTATGAGTGCTTCTATCTTTCAACCAATTATGAGTCTTCGTAATTGTCCCTACAAGTATATACTACTATAGATTGAGTACTAATCTTTGCCATTCCTTCTGTTGGGCAGTTCCTTTATTTATACTACTCGTATAAATTGCTATAAATTGCTCATCTCTATTGAAGTCACTGGACCAGACGAGTGTAGTTATCTCTTCACTACAAGTTGTGATGACACATTAAAGAGATGGGCATTGGCTGAAGATGATGTTGCCTATTCTGCTACATTCGAGTCGCTTGTGGATTGGGTATGCTTTCTCTCTTCTTCGATTAACTCTTTTGTGAATCTCTATATCTCCTCTGGAAGTTAATGTTTTTCTGATGGGCCTGTTAAACAAAGATCGGTATTCTATTGCTATCGATAATGCAATCCTCTCAACTGTACTTTTGGTTTTGATAAGACATAGATTTCAACCAAATATAATACTATACTTTGTCAGTGTCTTCCTTTTAATAACTTGTCATCCACCAGCTTAAAAGCATGAATCGTTCATCGGAACCATTGTCAAACAATGAGGTATTCTAGTAATCAACGTAAAATAACATTCGCCTTCTCAATCCTCCATGAATTAATTGGCGTTTTGTTGAATGTGCATGCTCCTCTTTTCATTGGTTGTGATGTAAGAAACATGACTCAGGGGACATTTGAAGTTGTAAGCAATGAGAAAGTTATTGTTGTAAATCAAGGTAAAATACTTCATTTTGTGTGTGGACAGAAGGTTTAACAAAGAACGGATAATAAAATGAAATGAAACAATAAAATGAAAAGGAAATGGATGTTGCTAGATTAGTTTAGATCATTATATCTATTTGAAAGATACATTAATTCTTATGAGCCCAATCAATAAGATGAACTAAACCAGTCGTTGTTCAGGCTTTGCCCTTGTATTTTCATTTAGATGGATTTGAGAGATCATTTAAAGCCATTCAACCTAGTAATACCTTATTTCTGCTTGCAGATCCACTCGGGGTTCAAGGAAGAGAAGTTTGTGTACAGGCATGATGGTTGTTATTAGGTGTAGCCTCTTTCAGCCAAATATAATACTAGTCATCTTTGGAGTATCCTATTACTTCTGTTTCATGTATTGCTTCATTGTGAAAGACTACTGAAGAGTATCATGTTTTTTCAAATGTTCAAATGTAATGGTTTCAACACAGTTATGATATAATGATCGATGGTTTGCCTTATAATTGTGCTACAAATTTTTGATATCTTATAGGTTGTGGGTGTGTGGTACCCAATAGCTGGTTCTAAGACTATGAAGCTTAGAGGACACAATGATGATATAAGAGCATTGCTATTGGATTCAATTGGAAGGTTTGTTGTACAGAGTTTAGTTCAACAGTGTTATGATCTTTATTATACCTGGTATTTCTTCTACTATTTTCTTTTTTTTATGTTCTATAGTTCGTAATGTATATGAAGTCCTTTTTTATCTACAGACACACCTTCTATTTGCACCCATGTGAAGTTCTATTATATGGATCCTTACAAAAGGAAAACTTAGCATTCCTTATATTTTGAGAATACATAAAGTAAGAACTATATCATTGTAGGGCTTAATCTTCTTTATGTGCACTTAATACTAATGCATTTAATTTTTAAGTACTGATAGAATTGATGGTAATTGCCTGAATCCCAAGTATGGGTTCTATCATCTGGTGAGTCTTCTCTTTCTTAACGTAGATAGTATTATTCTATCAACTTTTTGCTTAAGTAGACTGATATGATGCAAACATAGAATAATATTATTTTCGGTGATACCACTATTCCTAACTATTAGTTTTTATTATTAGCGAAGTGGGTATTGATCTTCTTTTGTTCTTCAGTCGCTGGATGGATGGACTACTGGGAACACAAGAACGAACTTCTGCTTCATCTTCTATACCTCAATTGTAGGTTGTCTCTACACCTTCTCATGTTCCAAATGTTTCTAATAAACAAGGGATGCCCTGCATATTCTTTCGGAAAGGATACTGTTTAAAAGGTGACTTGTGTCCATTTTTACATGCATCAAATTCTGCAAATTCATTGATCCGATGATGTTGATGATGCAAGATTTAGTGTGAATGGAAGAGAAGTATATAACATTTGTTTTTTTTTAGTCGACGCATACGTTTTGTTCTTAAAGTGTAGGACACTGTTGTTACTAAGATATAAGATATCTTTGGTAAGGTATAGGATAGTTTTGGTGAGGTATATGACACATTCTATATTAGGGTCTATGATATATTGTGGATAAATATACAATGACATTTTAATTTATATATCAACTATCAGTAATTGTTATGTATGCAATCACAATTATTTTTTTGTAGTTGTATATTTTTGTATTATTTTCTCATGCATTATTTATTAAATTTATTAATTAGAAAAATTAATAAGATACAACAGCCTAACTTGTGGCTGCTGAAATGCCAACTAAAACATTGGTAAAAATAATAATAAATAAATAAAAATTGTACACTTTCATTAACATACACCTTTACAGACCAAACTCTTGGTTGCAAAAGGGTATATACCAACCAATTTTTTTTGCTATTATCAGCCACCAAATAGAGACCATTATTGAACAAATATTTGGTTGCTAATGTTATAGAATTAACGGCCAAACAACATTGGTTGCTAAAGAAATTCACCGACGGTGAATTAGCAACCAAGCAGTGACCGTACAATTTTGGTCGCTGTTAGCAAGCAAGAATTTGCTTTTAGCGACCAATTTTTTCGGTTCCTGGAAAACATTTTTTTTTGTAGTCATAAACAGGCAATCAATATTTGGAACCTTAAAGACGAAAATCAATGGGGCTGTCATATTTTTATTACGAAAAATTGAGAAGCAGTTCAATCCGGTCTTGCGCTCAAACCCTTACCGTGCTTAAACCCCTCAAAATTCCCAATTTTCAAAACCATCGAACCCAGAGCATGTTTGGTAGATATTTTAATTCAATTAACATTAATTTTTTTTATCGTTATTTCATTATTTTAACCGTTATTTTTAAATTCTTATCTTGCAAATTGAATCAAGAATCATTTTATATCCATCGGTCAAAAAATAATTAACAGAATCCCAGCAAAACAAGCACTCTTCACCTTTCCCCCAATTTTCCATTTAACGTCTGTATCACACACCGCCGACAGGAATTCCGCCTCCGCCGCACACGATTAACATTCTTCTCCACCCCCACCATGGCCAGCACAGGCTTCTCATCTTCCTCCGCTCCGGCATCTTCATCGTCCACTTTCAGCTTCTCTAACCCTAGCTTCACTTCCGTCCCTTCATTCGCCTTCAGTCCTGCCTCTTCATCTGGAACTTCATCATTCAGCACCACCACCGCTTCATCCCCCTTTGGTGGCGCCTCTCTTGTTGGGCCCTCTTCGAGTTTTTCACCCACTGCTAATCCATTTGGATCCTTAGCATCCGGTTCGGGCTCTGTGTCTAACTTTTTCGGATCCTCATCGTCTGCAGCGACTAGTACTTCAAACACTTCCGGATTCTCAAATGCGGGTCCAGTTATAAATTCATTTGGATCTTCTTCTAGCGCAACTTCTACTACGCCTAGTCCGTTTGAATTACCCTCCAGTGATTCGGGTCCAACCACGAGCATTTTCGGATCCATGTCTTTTGGTGTGAATCCTACGTCGGGCCTCTTCGGATCAAGTTCTTCAGCTGGCACGTCATCTGCTGCTCTATCCCCCCTTGGCACCTCCCCCCTACTCGAGTCCCCTGCTCCGGGCTTTTCTGGCATTTTCTTGTCAAGTTCAGCTCCCACACCCGGTCTTTTTGAATCCTCTTCGGGAACTTCTAATGGAAGTACCACCATTCCATTATTGGGGTCAGGTTCCGCTCCGTTTTCCAGCCTTTTTGGATCCTCTATAGGATCCTCTACTGGAACTACCACTAGTCTCTCATCTGGATTGAGTTCCGCTCCCACATCCAGCCTTTTTGGATTCTCTTCAGGAGCTTCTACTGGAAATACTGCTAGTCCCTTGTTTGGGTCGGCTTCTGCTCTTACTTCCAGCCCTTTTGGATCGGGTTCTACTTCATCCACTGGCCTATTTGGATCATCGACATCCTCATTCACAACTCGAGTTGCAGCAACCACTGGCTCTACACCCTCATCCGTGTCGGGTTTTGGGTCTACCCCTGGTCTGTTTGGTGTGTCCCCATCATTATCAGGGTCAACTTCGGCAGCACCAATGTTTGGATCCTCTAGCTTCACTTCTGCAGCACCGGCATTCTCATTGCCTACCACTGCTTCAAGCCCTGCTACTTCTGCACTTTCAATTTCATTCCCCAATTCTTCAACCTCTGTTGCTTCTGCCCCTGAAATCTCGTCCCTCGCGGCATCTACTACTGGCCTTGGCTCTGCTTTGGGCCCAGCATTTTCATTTCCTACATCTTCCAGCTCTGCGTCATCTTCAGGTTTTTCATTTCTAAACAACACCACAAGTTCAGCATCTGGCACAGTTTCATTCTCATCTTTATCTGGATCCTCATCCAGTTTTTCATTTGTGACTTCTGGGTTTCAATCTTCAGCACCGTCAGTTTCCAGTGGACCTGCTTCAAAACCTGCAATTGGAACTGCTGCTTCTACTCTTTTCTCCACAGTAACAACCACTGCGCCTGGCAGTGCTTCTTCTCCAGCTGCAACAACCCATTCTTCTTCTGCTTTGGTTGGTATCAGTTCCAGTTCTGGTTCGTCCTTTCCTGCATTGAGCCCTGCCTATTCTGGTGCGTCTGCAGCATCTACTATCAATGCATCTGCTCCTTTGTCGGGCTTCACAGGTTTCAGTACCACTAGCGCTCCAGCCTCTTCGGCTGAAACTATGAGCTCTTTCTCCGTTAAAACACCCATATCCTCGGCTTCATCAGCATCTCAATTGCAATTCTCTTCCACTGGAACTGTGAGCTTTTTCTCCAATAAAACACCCACATCCTCAGCTTCATCAACATCTCAATTGCAATCCTCTTCTGCTGGAACTATGAGCTCTTTCTTCATTAAAACACCCACATCCTCAGCTTCATCAGCATCTCAATTGCAATCCTCTTCCGCTGGAACTATGAGCTCTTTCTCCATTAAAACACCCACATCCTTAGCTTCGTCAGCATCTCAATTGCAATCAACTGCTGCTATGCCTTCTTTTGGTGAGATTTTCCTTTCCCGTTCTTCACTGGTTATTTTGTATATTGGTTCATAGATATGTGAAAGCCATATATACAGCTTTTAAAGTCGTAATATCTAGATGCATCCTTATTTTGTGTTATTGTTCCGGGCTTTATATATTAACTTCTGTTGATTTCCCTGAAACGTATTCTTCTCTTATATTTTGGAATGTACAATGTCTTCAACTTGATACTTTTGAGTTGTATCATGTGTACCATGCCATGAAGTCGTATATTAATATTAGGTGAGGTTGGTATATGAGTCAGTTTTTGCTACTCAGAACATTGATTATCAAATCTCCAAGATTCTATTAATTTAGCTCCTCTAGTAATCTCAAGTGCCTGTGTTGGACAATTGAAACTGGAATATGTGTATGGATTATGGACCGTTGTTGTTAGCCGACTAATTTGGCATTGCGATGGATCCTTGTCATACCTCTGTGGCATCGTACAACATTTCACGTAACACTTGATAGAGATTTTCTTTCCTATGATTGCGATGGTAATTGAAAGCTTGCTGTGAAGTGGTCTTCAATGAATTTTTTCAAGCGGTACTTGGACTTTGTAAAGATGGCCTATGATGGCTTAGTTTGAAGTATTGTGTTGGAGTAATTATGAGATATTGTAATTGTAGCATCTTCAGGGACATACTCCATCAGGGTCTTGAAGTATTATGCATGCGACTGTAATTGTTTATGTACTCGAATAGGTATTGGTATCATTCTTTGTGCCTTTCAATCTTATAAAGCAATTCCTCTGGTATTTCGATGAAGTAGCTTCTTTGATTCTCGCCTACTTGAAAATGATCCTTGTTCCAGGTTGACAAGACAATGTTAACATCATTGGTTGGCGGTTGCATGTCTTATGCTATTTTGATATGTATTATGCTACTCAAACTCGGGCTGGGACAGGCCCCAGTGACAGGGGCTGAGGGTCCTCTGATATAGAGTGTAAAGCATATAATGCATAAAGATGGGTTATCAATTTCATAGGTCAGTATTGATAATATTGGTGTCAAATAGTGTCGGATATTTTGCACAAGCAACTTGGAGCATGTTTGACTGTGCTTACAAGTTATGCGTAAGTCAAAGTTAAGTTTAAGCTACTTATTTTGCCAAACATATTTTTTTTACAGCCATTTTTTAACTAACAAAACTTACTTTTTCTGAAGTAACTGCTTTCTTGAAAAGAATTGTTAAGGAAAACCAAACGTGCTCTTAATATTCGTATGGTTATGGAAATGCAGGCAAATTACATTTTTAATTTACTTCTAACTTTTTAAGCTTCTCCTTTTCGCAAGTGTTTTGACTGGCTTTCTTTATGTACTATATGCCAAAATGCTGACAGTAAAGCTTGATAGACTTTTTCGTTACTTTCTTAGTGTTCCCCTTAATTTGACTGGTAATTTCATAAAACACGATCATGTCCCAATCACAAATTTTTTTATTTTACCATTTAGGCTTGTAGAGTTTTGATGCATCATTCTTTAACTTTTATCTGAAGGTGCCTGTTTTTATGAGAATGCTATTATAGCTGGTTGATGAATGTTTTGCTAATGTTTCTTTAGGTGTCCCTACTTCAAGTTCATCAACTGCAACAACCTCGAGTTCCAGTTCTGCTGCTCAAATATCTTCATCTTTGGTTCCAGCTTCCAGTAGTGGGTACGTATGCCTCCTGATATATAAATTTTCTTCTATTTTTTTTGTTCGGTAGAAAATTAAAATTTGAGGGTTTTGATTACAATGATATATGAAAGTTATTGCTTGTACTTGTACTTGAGTTCTAGCGTGGGATCTTATTATGAGGAAATTAGACACAGGGTGCTAGCACGTGGTTTCCCTGCCTCAAAAGCAAAGATAGAAGAGTAGGATATTAGAAATTGGATTCCTTTATCTACTTTGTGTCTAGAATTGCTATTAATGAGACACATTTGCACTTAGTCCAGATTGTGAAAACGACAAACAATAACAAGCTATGGCTTGTCTCTGTAATCCTTTGCAACCAAGCCAGAGCATGTGGTGCTCATCTGTTGATTTTTTTTCCTGGGATTGTATCAACATTATCAATGGGAGCTTCTCTACCAAAATTCTAATACCCCTTATTTTATTATCAATTTGAGCTACATCCAATTGTTTCAATTGTTGGCATATATTGTTAATTATTTTTTTTATTTTTTTAATATTATCTATTCTAGAATGGCCACATACCAACTTTAACATTTTCATTTCTGCTGCTTTTATCTTGTTAAAGTGTTTCAACGAGAATATCAAAAAAACCTAATTCAGCTCTACATGGACACTGCCTTTTCTTTCATTTTCCGTTCTATTACACGTTGTGCCCAAGGTAGTCAAGACTGAAAAATGAGATATTTGAAGAAAGGATGCAGGCAGCTTTACGGATGGAGTACGCTATGACATAATAAGAGAAGCATGCAATACCAAGTGAGGGGTGAAATGAACAAAAAATAAAAATAAAAATTGTATTCGAATACCTGGATTTTTGGACTCTATTTACAGTTCGCTTCTTGGAGAAGGAAGTAAAGGAAGAAAAGAGACCATTTTTTTATTTGTTTGCTTAGGCAAAGATCTAGTGAACCTTGAATCAAAACCTTTCTTTTCTATGCTTCTTCTCTTATGAAATTGATAGTTTGTGATCTTAATAGCCTAGTAATAATTTGGATAGGGTTTGGTAGTTCTATTAACTTTTGTAGATCTGGCCTTATAGGGATCTCTAAATCACATGGATTCCTTCTAGCATTTCTCCATTTAATCCAACTCAGTGTAACTCTTGTATCATATCATCTTGAAGTCATTTTTCTCGTTGATAGTCAAAACCAAATATCTAAAACAATCACTCGTTGGGTTGGGATGATATAACATGGAAAAGACATTCTGGTAGTTTTGCTTTATATTAAATAGTTGCTTGAAGATTCCTTTTGTAAATAGGATTGAACATTTTTCTGTACGCGAAGTCGAGGTTTGGAATGCTAACTCTGCGCTTGCCCTATAGGACCACTTCAACTGTGGTACCTTCTGCACCAAAGTTACCATCTGAAATCACTGGGAAAACTGTTGAAGAGGTAATTAAACTTGCCTACAGAAATTCGAATTGATAGTGTTGTATATTTACGGTTTCCTTGTTGAGTGACATTGGTACATACTTCATTACACGCAGAGCATGCAAAAGATTCGTCATATTATTCTCCTCATGGAGAACATGATGCATGTTTCTTCATCTTCTTTATACCGAATCAAGTCAATATTTAGAAAAGTAAAATGGGTGCTTGGTAGAAAGTAACCAATCAACTTCACCAATAACCCTGCCCTCATTTCCCCCGATTGGAGTTCTGGATATTTTTTCTCATGTAACATACCGTGATTAGAATACCTGATTCTAGATGATGCTAAAGTTTGCATCTTCCTTATACCATTGCCATACCTTTCTTCATTATCAGTTTGAACTGAATTTATATGAGTACATTATCGCAGATCATTAAGGAATGGAATGCCGAGCTACAAGAGCGTACTGGAAAATTTCGGAAGCAGGCTAATGCGATAGCTGAGTGGGACCGCAAGATTTTACGGAATCGTGACATACTTCTACAGCTTGAGGTATCACATTACTTGCTGAAAAAAAAAAAAAAAAAAAAAAAAAAAAAAAAAAAAAAAAAAAAAAAAAAAAAAATCTTTCTAGCTGATGTGGTTGTGGGCTTGCTAATGTTATGGGTGTGTGCATAGGAAATGTCCTTTTTCTGTATCTCCCCATTTTCTTTTCTTTTTATTTTCTAGAGCGTATTATCTCGCCAAGTCTCTTGAATGGCATTTGCCTAACTTCCATTGTGGCTTAGTTAGTTGTTTTTACCTCAAAGGATTTGTTAGATTGACCGATTAACAATTCTTTTACCATCATCGAAGGAGCTAGGGCAGTATTATAGATTTATATAAACTTTTTCTTGTCTGTGAAAGAGGTATATGCATGTATATATGTTTTCTTTTATTTTGAAAGCTGCATTTAAAAGTAGTATACATATCATGACAGAATCAAAGCCTATCAACATTTATGAAATTTATCACCAATAAAAATATTTTGTCAAGACTGAATTCCTGGTCTTGGCATCAAATTTCTGTTCAAAACTCTCAAGTGGACAATTTCTACTAGGCGTAGATGTTCAGATTTTTTCTTATGGTTTCTTGAGCATATATACCAAATTTATAGAACAATCTCACTATCTCACATTATTGTGTTAAAATTCTTGATCAGAGTGAAGTTGCTAAAGTGGTTGAGACGCAAGGTAGTTTGGAGCGGCAGCTGGAGCTAATTGAAACTCATCAAGACGAGGTGTGTAATCAAGACTTTTGAGGTCTGAGTTCATCTATTGGCTGCATGGGGTTAATTGCAGTAATGCACGCTGCAATTTTTTATTTTTTAAACAGTGTTTTGATTATTGTTTTCTTTGTGAAGATGTATATGTTGACTTTCAGTTAGCACTTGGTAAACTATTCATCAATTACTTACTGTTTAGGTTCAAGTTGTTAATTGGAATGTAACTTGGCACCTAGATCAGATTACAGTTTTCACGTGACATCATCTTAAATATCTAATATAAAATTAACTATTATGTAAAAATCGTAGAGTGAAGGATTCCAGTTTTTGTTAATCGGTCTTTGTTGTTATGTACAAATTATATCATGTTAAAAGTGTTGACGTATATTGTTTGAATGAGTTTCATCAATGATTTTGTTTGCATTGGTTAGGTCGACAAAGCCTTACAAAGTATGGAAGATGAAGCAGAGCGAATATACAAAAATGAGCGAGGATCACTCCTTGAGGACGAAACTGCATCGATAAGAGACACAATGTGAGCACCGGACTATATTAGTTAACCTCTTTTGTTCTTGTTGGTATCCTTTGACTGATGATTGGTGTTAGCTTCATGGCCACATGCACTATTTCATTTGCACAAAACTTCAGAATATCTCTGGAGGATGTAAGATTTTGTGATTATGATCTCAAAATATTTAATATGGTCAGCCTTTAAATACATTACCGTGCTCTGAAAATATTTTGTTGATAGTTGTTAGATTGATCAGCAGTTCTATTTTGTGATGGACTCTTGAATCAATGGGGATCACATTTCCTGCTGCAGCTGTTTGAATTTTTTTATTTTTATTATTATTATTATTATTATTATTATTTTTTGTAGCTCTGTTTCATGTCGTCTGATTTTTTTAAGTGAATAACAATTCATTTACAACACTTTTTTATATCATCAATTATTTTCTTATCTTCTGAATTTAGGTATGAGCAGGCTGAATTGATAGAGCGGGAGCTGGAGCACATGACAGAACAGATCAAATCGATCATTAATACTCTTAATGCCAATCAGGTTACTCAATGTGAAATCTTTTGGTTTTTGTTTATTGAGCTCAAAAGTTGATGATTGTTACTTACGTTTCAATCAGGGTGGAGGGCTTGAGGCAACTGATGGGATGACTCCACTGGATATTGTTGTTCGTGTCTTAAACAACCAATTGAGTTCATTGCTTTGGGTGGATGAGAAGGTTAGGACTCCAATTCATTTTCATTCTTGCATGGAAATTTGTGCGTCGTAGTTGCTTTTGCCTTTTCATGGGCATAGCTGTCAATGGGTTAAAACACGATGAAAATAAATCGTGCTCTTGTTTTGAATTGAGCCTTGTTTGGGTTTCCATTTTAGTTACCAGAATTTGATGTTGGTATAAATGAGTAGTGGATAAGTGGGTAATACTTGTGAATCCTAGGAAATGTGTGGTTAAAATTGTTTGACTTTGAAAAGTAGCTTTTTAACAACTAAAAAAGAAACCAAACAAAGGCAAAATATTCATATTAAAACATCAAGGGTTTGTTTGAGCTCCATTAGTTTGGAGAATAAATTTTGTATTAATAAAATTTTGGAGAATATATAGTTAAAAAAAAAAAAAAAAGTAGAATTTTTTTTAGATTTACGTGTAAAATTATTTTACTGGAAGAATGTGTGGCTGAAATTGAGTTAGGTGAAAAACGAGTTTTTTTTTTTTACTGGAAGAATGTGTGGCTGAAGTTGAGTTGGGTGAAAAACGAGTTTTTAAAGAATTGGGGCTCAAACAGAGGCTGACTTTGTAGCAAAAATTTTCTATATTAAAACATCAAGGGTTTGTTTGAGCTCCATTAGTTTGGAGAATAAATTTTGTATTAATAAAATTTTGGAGAATATGTAGTTAAAAAAAAAAAAAAAGTAGAATTTTTTTTAGATTTACGTGTAAAATTATTTTACTGGAAGAATGTATGGCTGAAATTGAGTTAGGTGAAAAACAAGTTTTTTTTTTTTTACTGGAAGAATGTGTGGCTGATATTGAGTTGGGTGAAAAACGAGTTTTTAAAGAATTGGGGCTCAAACAGAGGCTGACTTTGTAGCAAAAATTTTCTGTGGAGACCTTGTTGAACCTTGAATATTGCTTTACTCAAATCTTTTGCAAAAACTTTTTACCAACCTATCGTTGTACCATCCCTGCTAGCACTGTATGCTTCCCGCCCTTCTTTTAATCTGCTGTTATCAAATTTATCAATTTCTTCTTTGCTCTCTGGGTCAGTGGTTTGCCTTTGGCACTGGCCTTAATGTACGTAATTCGTTGGGAGAGAAGTCAGTGAAATCACGATGCTATAATGTGTTTTTGATTTTTTGTTTCTTTGTGAATGAGCTATAAGGTTTTTCAATGTCAAAGTTATAATCAATTCCATCCACACATTGATAGGATACGCACAAATAGATGGGCAAACCTTTGAGAGTGAACGTGATTGCTCTCTCTTCTGAAGAAATATGATAAGACCCTGTTTGGTACCCATTTTTTTCAAAATGCATTTTTCTCTATCTTCTTTTCCACCACACATTCTTCATCAAAATAATATTACATGTAAATCAAGAACTTTTCCTTATTTTTCAACCACACATTTCTCATCACTTTACTATTCCAAAATGCATTTTTATATAAAAATGGCTTTCAAACACCCTCTAAGACTTTTTCTTGTGGATGGAGTCTTAATGAAGGCATATAATCATGTTACCTAAAGAAAGAGCGTGCGAATTAAGAAATCTTTGCTGGTGATATTAATTCTGACCCTAAACATCATTGAAATGGAAATAAGCTGAAAGACTCAATAACCTGATGAGTAAGTCAAAGTGGAAGCCAGAGATGGTCCTGGTTGAACTATTAGCTTCATTAATATTTAATGCTAATTATTGTTTGTTAGTACAAATCCTTATGGGTGTATCAGGGTATCTAAGCTCTTGATTTGAGAATGCTATTATCTGTATTCATCTAATCTTAAGATCATATCTCCCAATTCTTTTCTGATATTTCTCACCAATAGCTCCCATGTAGCATTTAGACCTTTGAACCTTATCCAACGATATGTCTCTGATTTGTAACACAAATGCTAATGAATATAGGCTACACCTTTTGTTCAGCATACTGAAATATGGGAGATGCTACATAGACATAATGGTTAATATAATCCTTGATATAATGTCATATGATAACTTATCATTGGACTATTTAAAATATAGTTAGCCTTTTCATCTGATTATTTCCGTCCACATCATTTTCGGTTGTTGCTTCTGGCATATGTTTTTGTACAAATAGTAAAATCCCCGAAATATTTCTTTCCTCTCTATGCTAATCTTTTGAACTGTACAGGCTGAAGAATTCTCTTCACGAATTCAAGAGCTTGCAAGTCGAGGCTCTGCTCGTGACCGTGAATCATTGACCCCTAAGCTTTGGTTGTCATAGTTCCTGAAGGGACAATTTACACAAAATCAGGTAATATGTACTCGTTGTGTATGGAAGCAGTTGCATTTGCAACATTTGTTTAGTTGTATTTGATGTAATTTGGATAATTGATTTAGTTAATTAATTTTTATTTGCATGATCTGAAATTTCATTCATATGTTTAATTTTTAATTTATAAATAATTTATTTAAAAAATATTGTGGTAATTTACTAAGTAGTTTTCCGCTAATTAAAACAAATATGTTCTTAAATTGTAAGCAACTTCGAAGTGTTGACAACTTTGTATGGTCCGTCATGAAAAAAATCCCGGGGACGATATTGCGAAATCCCAAATCAATTTGCTTAAATAAATTATAAAATACCGATATTATCTTGTGAAATATTAATTAAATAATTTTAAGGACTGTCGATCGATAATTTCTTGGAATATATCTGGTCTTGCTTGACCTTGTATATCCATTTCTTTACTAGTGACCTTACACTAATACCTCGATATAATACTTTAATACATATAAATAACAAATAAAAAAAGATTGGGAATGTTTATTGCAATAAGAATGCGGTGCTGTGTGAATATAAAATTATAATGACTACATAAAAATGTAGGGGTGTTATATAGGACGAGTCGACTGGAGCTATGATCACCAAGTGTCGGTTGGTGAGCCCTTAGCTCAATCAAAGTGTGGCTTGTGAGTTTAATTTTTTTTCCTACATTTCTCGTTTTTAAAGAAATGAGTTTGATGGACTATTTTTGTTGCTTCGTGGAAAGTTGTAAGCTCTCTATCGTTTATTAGAAGAAACATTTCTCTTCATGCAATAATTTGAGCATGTTGAAACTTAGGCTCGAGTGCATCTTGTTTATCGTGTAATAGTCTATCTTTCTTTAGAAATGTCACTTCTTCGTTTTCTTTGCAGTTTATCTTCTACTAATATGACATCCATCCTGACTACAAATTAGGAATATCATCAACTAAGATTTTGAATAATTTCGTGGATTTGAATAGATTTCCAAAATGGTGAATTTTCAAAATATTTTGTTATACGCATTTTTAATATTGAAATCCATCCAAATCTTTTAAAATCTCTCTTTTAATGAAATTTTAATGAATTTCACTAAAAATTTCAGTTGGGGATATCTAAATTTAGAAGGGTTTTCCAACTTCATTAATAAAATCTCAATTGAGAATCCCCTTTTTAGAAATGTTACATAATTAATTTGTATTAACATGATTTTAAATTTTGAATGCATGAATGATTTATTCGAAAAATAGAAATTTTCTGATAATTATTTTCCCACTATTAATCATAACAAATTCGACGCAAATCCAAAGGTTTGCCATCTTTGTATTGTCCCGCTGTGGCAACTAATTTTTCACAAAAAAATTACCCAGAAAAGATAAATATTTCTTGATTTAACAATATTCATGTTGAAGGTACAACGATAAACTAGAGCTTCATTCATGCGTTAATTGCTTGACATATGTTTCATCCGCCCCTTAGAATTGTGTAGAGTTTATAGCAAGAGCTGGTGGGCTTCTTGGTTCTGGCAATGGCAATTTTGCAGTAAAAACTTAAGTCGCTGCAAAGAAGAACCATTATTTTTATTTAATCCAGTAACCAAATATTGGTTAGAAATTCACCAACGATGGCTTTGATCATGGCATAGACTTAAAAATTTCTTTCGAGTGCAATACTGTCGATAAAATTAGTGATGTGCACCCAACATTATTTGTAATCTTGCCTTGTCACTCCAATTGCCATGACTGCCTATATAAGCAATGAACGATTGTAGTGTTTTTAAACACGAGGAGAGAGAGAAAAAAAAAATATATCACCAATGAAAGGACGTTGCCAGATGTAGAACGTCATATAATCACCAATAAAATCATCATCAATTTTGTTACGAATTACCTTTTTTTTTACGTGTTTCATTTTTTTTTCCTTTTTGAAAAATACAAAAAAAAAATAAAAAAAAAATCACTTAAAGATCCCTAGGAAATAGGATCCAAAAATAGTGCACCACAACAATTCAACTACTACTCGATAATATTATAACCAGTCAATACTCCAATATAAAATGCAACTTTAAGGGGCTAAAAGGCAAAAATCAATACTTATTAAACACGAATTATAGAGGCAAAAGAATACTTAAAACTCATAATAATCTTTTATTTGACTAAATATAATGAATAATTTCTTGTTAATTTTTACATTTACTTTATATATATATTTTTATAATACTTTATAAATACACTTTAACTGGACTTTCAATTTGACTTACTTTTGAACAGTTGATCCATCAATTCAACCAATAATCATCCAAAATTTCGACCAAGTCACTGACCGAGTCAATTCTAGAAAATACTATGAAACTTCTCAATAAAAGAAATAATCACATTTGTTTTGCAAGTGTAGGACAACTTTTGGTCAGATCTAATTCATCGACCTTGTACTTAACGATTAAATATAGCATTTAATTAAATATTCAGTTTATTTACTTCTTATTGGTATGTTTTCTAAAATAAATCTTGACTTATATGTTGGAGTGAATCTCTCTTTCACTAGCATAATCATATTACAATCCGTTACAAGATTGAGCAATCAAAATACAACACAAACATTGACTAATAATCAATACATAATCAAGAATTTCCTCTGGATAAAGAAAAGAAAAGAATTTTTCCATGCCAATTATAACACGGAGAGTATCAAACGATGTAATAATGTCTAGTTCTATTCAATCATGAACAAGCTAAAAATAAATTCACAAAACAAAAATAAAATCCTTATTTTAAGTACTAAGAAATATCATATTCTCTCTCGAAAAAAGAAAAAGAAAAAGAAAAAAATACAATATCATATTCCCATTTTATGGACTAAAAAATTTTAATTCATGATTTAAACTCGGGACAATTATGTTTTCATTCTTTCATTTTGTCTTTAATTACTTTAATTAATTATGTTAATTGAGGAATGAGGATCACCTTTTCTTTTTTAGTTCTGTTTTTATAAGGAAGACTGAGTAACTAAAAAAACTGACCCTGTTTCGCACGGAAAGTTTTATGTTTTTCATTATAGGTAATATAATTGGAGATCAATTTTCTTTTTTTTAAGTTGATTTTTCTTTCTTTTTTGTTTAAGGAAGGTTGAATAACTATGAAAACTGATTCTATTTTAAAAAGGAAATTATACAACAAGTAAAGAAATCAATTATCATTCCTTTTATTTCCGCATTTTCGAAGGACATTTCCGTTTAGACTACAGTAAAAACCATTATAAAATGACCTTATCTAACTGCCAATTTTATCCAAGAAAGAACCTCAAAAGCTCAGAAAGAAAGCTTTTTTTAAGACAAAAATCCATGGAGTCTTTAATGAATGTTAACCGAAAAACACTTCATGTTCTTATGTTCCCATGGTTGGCTCATGGACACATATCTCCCTATCTAGAGTTGGCCAAAAGACTTACGAAGAGAAACTTCGTAATCCATTTGTGTTCAACCCCAGCAAATTTGAGTTCCATTAAGCACAAAATTGGTGAAAAGTTTGCACGTTCGATTCGACTAGTAGAACTTCATCTCCCAAAATTGCCTGAACTTCCTCCTCGTTACCACACCACCAATGGTCTCCCTCCCAACCTTTACTTATTAAACACGAATTATAGAGGCAAAAGAATACTTAAAACTCATAATAATCTTTTATTTGACTAAATATAATGAATAATTTCTTGTTAATTTTTACATTTACTTTATATTTTTTTTTATAATACTTTATAAATACACTTTAACTGGACTTTCAATTTGACTTACTTTTGAACAGTTGATCCATCAATTCAACCAATAATCATCCAAAATTTCGACCAAGTCACTGACCGAGTCAATTCTAGAAAATACTATGAAACTTCTCAATAAAAGAAATAATCACATTTGTTTTGCAAGTGTAGGACAACTTTTGGTCAGATCTAATTCATCGACCTTGTACTTAACGATTAAATATAGCATTTAATTAAATATTCAGTTTATTTACTTCTTATTGGTATGTTTTCTAAAATAAATCTTGACTTATATGTTGGAGTGAATCTCTCTTTCACTAGCACAATCATATTACAATCCGTTACAAGATTGAGCAATCAAAATACAACACAAACATTGACTAATAATCAATACATAATCAAGAATTTCCTCTGGATAAAGAAAAGAAAAGAATTTTTCCATGCCAATTATAAAACGGAGAGTATCAAACGATGTAATAATGTCTAATTCTATTCAGTCATGAACAAGCTAAAAATAAATTCACAAAACAAAAATAAAATCTTCATTTTAAGTACTAAGAAATATCATATTCTCTCTAGAAAAAATACAATATCATATTCCCATTTTATGGACTAAAAAATTTTAATTCATGATTTAAACTCGGGATAATTATGTTTTCATTCTTTCATTTTGTCTTTAATTACTTTAATTAATTATGTTAATTGAGGAATGAGGATCACCTTTTCTTTTTTAGTTCTGTTTTTATAAGGAAGACTGAGTAACTAAATAAACTGACCCTGTTTCGCACGGAAAGTTTTATGTTTTTCATTATAGGTAATATAATTGAAGATCAATTTTCCTTTTTCAGTTGATTTTTCTTTCTATTTTGTTTAAGGAAGGTTGAATAACTATGAAAACTGATTCTATTTTAAAAAGGAAATTATACAACAAGTAAAGAATTCAATTATCATTCCTTTTATTTCCGCATTTTCGAAGGACATTTCCGTTTAGACTACAGTAAAAACCATTATAAAATGACCTTATCTAACTGCCAATTTTATCCAAGAAAGAACCTCAAAAGCTCAGAAAGAAAGCTTTTTTTAAGACAAAAATCCATGGAGTCTTTAATGAATGTTAACCGAAAAACACTTCATGTTCTTATGTTCCCATGGTTGGCTCATGGACACATATCTCCCTATCTAGAGTTGGCCAAAAGACTTACGAAGAGAAACTTCGTAATCCATTTGTGTTCAACCCCAGCAAATTTGAGTTCCATTAAGCACAAAATTGGTGAAAAGTTTGCACGTTCGATTCGACTAGTAGAACTTCATCTCCCAAAATTGCCTGAACTTCCTCCTCGTTACCACACCACCAATGGTCTCCCTCCCAACCTCATGCCAACCCTCAAAAGAGCATTTGAAATGGCAGCCCCTAATTTTGCTTATATTTTGAGCACCATTAAGCCTGATTTGCTAATTTATGATTTTCTTCAGCCATGGGCGCCATTGGCTGCTGCACTCCTTAATATACCTGCGGTGGAGTTCATCACTAGCAGTTCCAGTATGACTGCTTACATGTTCCATTTCTTTAAGCACCCCGGCATCGAATTCCCCTTTCCGACACTGTTCTATCGTGAATACGAGCTTGTTCATCGAGCCAAATTGCTGGAGTCTGCTACCGATAAACAGGTAAAAGAACATGCTTTTCAAGGTATTCAAAGGTCATCTAAGATTGTTCTGGTAAAGGGCTTTAGGGAGATTGAGGCTAAATATAGTGATTATCTTTCCAGTTTAGTAGGGAAGAAAATTGTTCCTGTTGGGGCATTGGTTCAAGATCCCACACATGAAAATGACAGTTCAGATATCATAGAATGGCTAGATAAAAAGGATAAAAATTCCACTGTTTTTGTTTCTTTTGGGACTGAATATTTTCTTACAAGAGAAGATATGGTGGAACTGGCTTATGGTTTAGAACTTAGCAATGTCAATTTCATATGGGTTGTTAGGTTTCCCAAGGGAAAGAAAACCATACTCGAAGATGCTTTGCCATTAGGGTTTCTTCAAAGGGTAAGGGAGAGAGGACTGGTGGTAGAGGGTTGGGCTCCACAGGCTAAAATATTGAACCATCCAAGTATCGGTGGCTTTGTTAGCCACTGTGGATGCAGTTCTGTGATGGAGGGTATGAAGTTTGGTGTTCCAATCATTGCCATGCCAATGCACCTAGACCAGCCACTCAATGCCAGGCTGATGGAAGATGTAGGGGTTGGAATGGAGGTAGTGAGGGATCATTTTGGAGATCTTCAGAGGAAGGAGGTGGCAGCCGTGATCCGCCACGTGGTGGTCGACACTGGTGGAGAATCTATTCGGACGAACGCGAGAAAAATGAGTGAGAAGATCAGGATCAAGGGCGATGAAGAAATTGATGAGGTTGTGCAAGAACTTGTGCAGCTTTGTGCTATCAAGAAACGCCGTGGCTTCCATTGAGTTGCATGAATTTATGTGGGCTTTAAGATTATTATTTTCTTATTTTATTTTCAGTTTTTAGATTATTATTATTTTCTTTTTTGGTGGATACCACTGCATAATTTGTGAAATTGCAGTTGTGTAGCCTCAAATTTCAGTGTGGGTTTTAATCAAACACCTTGTAATCAGTTGGTCAATACTCGTTTACAAGTTGAGCATTGTTAGTTGTCGTAATTTATTGTGGTTGCCATGTCAACCTTCAAAACTGAGGACATGGGGCCCCATTTAATATAACATGTGACTTTATGTCTTTAATTTATGTTAAGTCTTTAATTTACGAAGTTTAGCCTTATGTATGTGTGATTTGGATTGTGACTTTGAGTATTTACATCCGATGGTTGCCACTATGTTTTCGTGGCTTGTGACGTGGTGACATCGATGATTGTCATTCAGTGAAGACTATGCCTTTGTTTAGTTTAGATTAAAATTTACCAAAAATTTTAAGTCAAAATCAACAATTAATTTTAATTATACATTCACGCGACTCACAACTTTTTTAACCGTAAATTTCATCAATTTTTATCAAAATTTACTAAAAATGTTATTTTAACTTACACTAAACAAGGTTATAAAGGCAATGTAGGTGGCCATTTGGGAATGTGAATATGATGTTTTATTTTCCCTTTTCCTTTTCTTATTTTATTTGTTTATGTTATGTAAAGAAAGGTTAGCCCTTGTTTGAGCCCCATTTTGAGGGGAAAATGAATTTTTTCATAGTGTATTGATGGAAAATGTGTGATTAAAAATCAGAGAAGTTTTAAAATTACGTGTAATATTATTTTATTGAAAAATGTATGATTCAAATGATGTCAAAATACTGTAGAAGAATTTTTTTTTTCAAAGAATGGGGATCAAACAAGGGTTAAATAGTCTTTTTAACACATATTTTTGACTTTTTAATGGGCAAATCGACCACTTTCGACATTTAAGGACCTAAATTCACAATGTTATTTAAGTTGGGACCATCCATCTATTCTTAAAGATTGAAGGTACAAAAACAACGTGCGTCAAAATTGGGTATTTTCTCTCTAATTTGTCCTTATTATTAATATTAATTTTCAATTAACTCATGTCCTTTACATCACGCCACAACAAGATCCTATTTGTTTAATTTGACAATTCCGAGAACCGAGAAGAAAAACAAGAACAGGCCTTTCTCTTTAATTGTCAACACTTCTATGAGATGCTTTTTTTTATAGTCATATGAATTTGAAATGTATATGTAGAATTTCGAGGGTGATGTGCATTTTATGTGAATTTGAATGTGTATAGGGTTACGATCAAAGATGGCGGAAGGGTGCATATGTACAACTTACCAAGGATTAGGCTTCCTTGCAAAATATCATTCGTGGTGAACTTAATAAACCCAATGACGTCGATAAGGTAGCTATTACATGAAATTTTATGTATCGTTATTGATTATTTTCGTTTTTCTTGGAAACTAACCAACCCGTTCTATTCATTTTGTGTTATCGATGATTTTTAATAATCTTGTCTGTGATTAATGAAATTGTTCCAGATTGCCATAATATAAGAAGTAATTTTTGTGAGTACTTTCTAAGATTTTTGGCGAAAATTTACACTCAGAATCTAAGAAATGAATGTCAGCGAGGAAGCTGTCAAAGAGAATGATGTTTGAGAAAGTAACTTGCAGCTATAGCCTGTGTTACGTAAGATATGCATTGAGATTTTTTCTAATCTCAGATGAAGAATCCTAAATGTTTTTATTATTCTACATGGAGAAAAAGTGAATTCTTGGCATTTTGAATGTTATCTTGCTTCAACTTCTTTAAATATATGGTCAGAAGGAAATTATTTCATGATTTGCCTTGGTGTTAGCATGTTATGTACTGCTGCAGCATAAAGAGGCTCGACAAAGTTGTTTTTGGTGCAGTATTTTCTCTCATAAGTTGATCAAGTACGAATATTTGTGTCATGCAAAGGATACCCATCTAATAAAATTTTTATAGAAAATAATTGTGCAAGCATTTGGTAGAGTACTTGCAACATTAAAGGGATAAAAAGTAGTTAGAGTCCGTTTGATAGCATTAAATTTCATGAAAAATGTCATATTCGAGGAATTCGTTTTTTACCTTGACTGTTTGATACGAAAGTAAAAATAGGGTTTGAATTTCAAGGTACAAACATTTAAAGCATGTTTTGGGTGGAAATCAAATTTCTATGGTTTTGACGATTTTATCTTTTCCAACTTACGTGAAATTGACTTGTCTTTTTCACTTTTGCAATCTAAAGGACCCTTAGGCCCTGTTCGATTGGGGATATTTTCCATGGAATCCATTTTTCAACTTTTTTGGTATTTGATTGCAAAAATTTTCCATGGAATTCATCTTCCATATTTTTCTCACACACGTGCATTTTCCTTATTTTGGTGGAAAATCAATTCTCATAAAAACTGTAAGAATTGGGTTTTCACCTTTTTTTTGTGGGTTAATTTTTTTTTTTTTTGGACAATGAGAACAAAATTTAAAAACAATTTAAAAGATGATACCCCTTAAATTGACAATTTTCATGTAAAATAAAGTTAAACGAACACCAAAATATAATGAATTTCGGATTTTTTTTTTTAACAATGGAAACAAATTATAGGAACAATTGTAGAAGTGAATATCCCTTAAATTGACATTTTTCATAAAAAATAAAGCCAAACGAACACTAAAAGACACTTTTATTTCAACATTTTCGAGATGAAAAATATACTAATCAAACACAATTAATTGACAATTCTCAATAAAATAATTTTTAGATAATTCAATTCCCTAAAATTCATTTTCTTTCCACCCAAAATTTATTTTGCAATCAAACGAACCCTTAAAGTAAAATTACCATATAATAGAATGTTAATAACGAACCATTAGTTAAGAGTTGTTAGACTAAAAGCATTCGAGCATAAAAATAAAAAAATGACCATGCGGCACTCACGTGATTGCAGAATGAAAGGGTAAAATTGTCTAAAATAATTTTCTTTATTCCAAAACAATATAATAAGGATTTATTTGATAATAATGAGTAGTGTTATTCATAGTCAGATAATGCAGTAATCATCTCTTATGTGCCGTAGCATTATTAAATGTTATTCAATTTTAAATTATTAAAATTATGTCGGATGACTACTATCGCTAACTATGATTAACATTATTGGATCATAACAACAGCTTTTCAGTGTTCAAAAGTCACGTCAAACTAAAATTAAATGGTTACTTCAACATCAATTAAAAAAATCAAATATGGTAAAAGTATTCTGCGTTGGTGAAATATTATCCTCTTGTTTCAATCCATTCCTCATATTAAATGGGTGTCACGTGGCCATTTTATTTGGATAAATGCTTTTCTGTTAGTTAGGGACAAGGATGTCACTGTTTTAAAAGATCTGGGACATGGATACAATAAATGATAGATTAGGACATGGGTGCCATCGTTGCAAAATGGTGGGGACCCCTAGCGAAAATGGTAGTGGAAAAAGAGGGTTGCGTGGCTCGGGGAGTCCATCTCTTTCTCAACCCGCCTGCTCTAGCCAAGGGTTTATCCCAAAACCCTCACAAAAATGGCACGCTGTGCCCGATCCTCTACGATGCGCTTACTCTACACCCTCTGTTCATCCTCACTCAAACCCCCAACCCAAATCTCAACCGCTGCTCTGCTTGCTGGGAGTTTCCAGCTCCGCCAGTACTCAGCAGGCAGCGCCGCTGCCCTTCGGCAGAAGGAGGAGAAAGAGGCATGGTGGAAGGAGTCGTTGCAGAAGCTCCGAAACATCGGGATTTCGGCTCACATCGATTCGGGCAAGACGACACTAACGGAGCGGGTACTTTACTACACGGGTAGGATCCACGAGATCCACGAGGTTCGGGGAAAAGATGGAGTAGGTGCGAAAATGGATTCCATGGATTTAGAAAGAGAAAAAGGAATTACTATACAGTCTGCTGCCACTTACTGTAGCTGGAAAGATTATCAGGTTCTTTTTAAATATTTCAATTCAATTGGACAAGTTTCGTTGTTGTGCTTAGTTGTCAATTCATTACTCATACCCATCATTGGATTAAGCCAAATGCCCCCATTTTGTAGTAATGAAAATGGGTGGAATAGTATTTTTTTTTTTAAAAAATGAGTGGGTGAAAATAATGAAAAGTTTTAAGTGTAATATTATTTTATGGAAGATTGCGTGGTTGAAAATAGGCGTGTGAAAAATGGAATGTAATGGAATGAAAATTAATGGGGGCCAAACGAGGGTTAAATAACTTGCCTCCCCGGCTTGGCTTGAGCTATTAAATGGACTGTCTTTTCAAGCCAAGTGCTATAATAATCATTTGTGTTTTGCTTTTTTAGTTAAGGAACAGTTACAAATTAATAAAATCTGATTTGAGAATTTTCCCTCCAAGCCATTTCTATCATAAAAAATGAAAGAGATTATGGAGCTATCATTCTTTGAGGAATAACTCTTTGACCACAGAATTCAAACCAAAGTATATTTGGTTCTGGTTTGGGTAATATTTCAGGTTCAGGTGTGGTTTCAGTGTGAACAATTTTCTTGCTTATTTACGTTCTATTGGTTAGTTATTGAGCATGTTATTCGAGGTTTGTTTATTTAGCGAGAAAGTTGTGACAAGGTGTGAAAAGGAATAGCAAACTCTATATGATAAAGTCTTTAGTTGTTGAGGAAGTTATGGTGTTATTGGAATTAGTATTTATGAGGAAAGTAAAAATGGCTAAATAATAAAAATTTTGTATTTGTCTTACTTGTAGGCATTGATTACATGATGCAGAGGCTGGTAGTTCTTTTCTTTTCATACAACATTGCCTTTAAGATTAATTGAAAAAAGGTACCTTCTTTCCTGTTTTTATAAGCTGAAGAAAAATTGGAGCTGGACAAATGGTAATTAGACCAAATGTATTTACTTTTTCTGGCTTTAATAAAATGTTGATCACAAAAAATTAAGAATTTAAAT